CTTACGACAAAGTTTTAAAAAATAAAAAAAATTATTTAGGGAAATAATCTAATGAAGTCCAGTTAAGTACAATTAAACACACTCTTTTCACATGACCTCAAATACAGGTTGCCATTAGGCTGAAGGGAGAAAAGGAACAAGACAGACAGCGAACACTGTTCAGGATTAAAATTATCTAAATGAGATCTTTGGTTGCCTTAATTCTCAACTGGAATGACCAAAGGTAAGGAAGAAATATGTATTTGTTTTTCAAGACAAGGTTTCTCTGTGTAGCTTTGGAGCTAGCTCTGGAACTAGCTCTATAGAACAGACTGGACCCAAACTCACAGAGATCCATTAGCCTCTGCCTCCTGAGTGCTGGGATTAAAGGTGTGCATCACCACCACCCAGATAGATGTCTTTTCTTTTAAGATTATGAAACCAAATACTATGTACAAATGCATATATGCCAGTTTTAAAAAATGCTAAAATGCTAGAGTAAGCCTGTTCTCCAGAGCATGTGACTGTTCAAACCCTACAGTGATCTGCAAGCTTTTTAGAACTAGTTTAGTGGCAGGTAGGCAACAAATATTAGATTGGGTGTCTATCAACTGAAAATTGATGAAGGAAATGTGGTTTATAGTTATAACAGACTAGGGTATGGGGAGCAGCTGTGGCAGTGTGCAAACTTGGTGTACATAATGTTCTAGGTTCAATTCCCAATGCCTTCCCCAAAATAGAAGAAAGTTATGTTGCAGGAAAATGGATGAAAATGGAGATAATTACACTAAGCAAGTTAAGTCAGTCTCAGAAAGACAAATATTATATTTTCTCTCAGGTTTTACATAAATACACAGAATGTATGTATAAATGAGATGGAAGGAGAAGCAAAACTGTCTAGGGGAATGGGGACTAATTGGAAAAGGAGTTAAGAAAGAAGTCAGTCACAGGCAGAGAAAGCTCTTTAAAGTTGTTTATCAGGGGAGTTCAAGAGATTCCTCAAATACAGACTCTTATTGTTCCCCTTGGTTGCCTCCCAGAGGTTGAAGGTAAGGCCCTAAAGCTAAAGGCACAGGCACTGTGGACTCAGGACTTGCAGGATCTGGGCTGGGTCTATTGAAATCCTCCTCTCTGAGGATAAACCTTCACAGTCCCTGAAGGTACTAATGTAAGCTGCTAAGGGAGGGAAGCTACCAATAGTTAACACAGTTGCAAGGCCTATGAACATGACCAGCAAGGCAAGACATCCCTAGAGCCACAATAGTGACTCTCATATCTGGGCAGTAACCAACAACTGTATAATTGGATTGTGGCCTGTTCAACAGGAAGGAAATCATGCCTGGTGCTGGAAGCTTAACCAACTACTCAGGGCTAACGAGATCATGGATCTTAGAGAAGAACCTACTACTGCTAGTTTATTAAACCAGGATAATTCCTAACTGCATTCGAAATACTTACCCTTATATCCACAAAGAAGTGTAGCCCCCAACCCTTACCAAAGAAGCTTCTCTTTGAAATAAAGACCATTACAGAAGACCACAACTGGTCAAAATGCAGAGAACAGCTTATTATAGGGTGCTGAGCCCCACTGGATATATCTACAAGACAACTTCTGTACCTGAGACTCAGGAACACCTTCAAAGGAGAGGAAGAAAGATTTTTAAGGACCAGAGGGACTGATGGTGGTGGTTCCTTTAATCCCATCACACAGGAGGCAGAGGCAGGCAGATCTTTGATTTCGAGGCCAGCCTGCTCTACAGAGTGAGTTCCAGGACAGCAAGAGCTACACACACAAACCCTATCTTGAAAAACCAAAGTAGGAACAGAGGCCTAGGAAATTCCCTGCAAGACTGTGTCTTCTAGAAATAATAGGTCAGCTTCACCTGTTACACTTCAGTAATATGGCTGCCTAAATAACACCCGAACAAGAGCAATAACAACAGGCATGGGTGGAGAAATCTCACAGGACCTAACCCTAGCTTAGACCAAGAACTACAGGCAGCTAAGAGATGCTGAGAGCAGAAGTAATCTTCCCTCAGAGACGAGCCCCTTGCCAAATACCAAGTGGCTAGCCCTGAAATTATGTTCATGCCTTGAAAAGACTTGGCAGGTTGTATTTATATGTTTGTACGTATATACATACATATACATACATACATACATGTATGTGTGTGTGTGTTTGTAACAATAACAATTTTAAAAAGGAGGCCAGGAATTTGAAAGGAAGAAGATGGAGGAATTGGAAAAAAGAAAGGAAGGAAATGATGCAATTATATTTTAATCAAAATATGACATATTTAAAGATTAAGTCTTTGCATATGAGGCATTGAGATTTAAAGTAAATTTTTTTCTGTCAAGAAACATTACATAAAACTTAATACTTACTCCACTGAACTTTTAAAATGAAAAAGAGTTTGTGTTCATGTCATTATTTTCTCAGTAAACTTGTCTTAATTAAAAAAAAGAAAGGTTAAGATAGCAGGATATGAGGGGATATGTTAAAAGTATATTAAGTACTTGTACGAAAATGGCCTTATGTAATCCATGACATAATTTTTAAAAATCTAACAATGTCAAACCTATATAGTACTTGGGAGCCAGAGACAGGCAGACTCAAGAGAGCCTGGTCTACATAATAAGCTCCAGGCCAACCAGGGATACTTAGCAAGATGCTGTCTCGAAATGACAGTAACAAAATAAATACTGATTTTGGGGAAAAGTATGTGTGTGGAAGGAAAGAGCACACATAACCTATGATTTGACATGTTTCATTGTTAAAACAAATTTAAAGTTTTTGTTTGTTTAGGATAATTGATTGCTTATAAAAATAAAATCTTCAGTCCTTCCTGAGAACCACTTCAAATGAGGTTATGAAGGGAAAAAAGCAAGGTAGGTCCTTGCACAGGAAAGCCAGATATGATAGTTTCCTAATCTTAAAAAAAAATGCAGTACTTCCATCTAATTTGCTTTGTGGCATAAAAACAAGCACATCAAAATTAGCCCTTGTCCTTCTTGCTTCGATATGACCTTCTAGGCTAATGTCATTGCCTTACTTGTCTTCAGCCATGAGAAATCTCAATCTTGATTGGGAAATATCCTCAACTAAACATGAATATGTAAGCTCACTCACAAGATAGATAGCCTTAGTCAATCTGAGCACCATCTTTGATCCAGACTGGCCTCAAACTAACATTGCATCTCCCCCCAGTGCAGGGCTTATGGAGTGTGCCACCATGACAGACCCTGAGCACTACTATCTCCATCTTACTTTTGGGGAAATTTTCAAAGTTCTTAATATTTAAAAATAGTTAGTGACTAATTTGGTTAACTAATTTTACCTGTATTGCAAGCATCTGACATGCATTTAACTTGAGGTGATTGTTTTTAGTGCTGTGGTTTAATCTAGGCAAGTGTTTAACCAATAAGTGACATCCTTAATCTGCATTTTGTGTATTGCATCTGTGTTCTACTCTGCAGCACAGGTTGGCCTTGATCTATAATAGCATCATCAGTCCTCCTGTGTCAACTTCCCAGTGCTGATAACAGGCGTGAGCCACCATATCTGGCTAATTTGAGACAATTACATTAGCTACTGCAAGCAAGATATAGTGGCACATGTCCACAATTTCAACACTCAAGATGCAGGAGGATTATTAATTCAAAACCACCCCAGGCTGCACAGTGAGTTCCATGTCAGCTGGTAATACCTAGCAAGATCCTATCTAAAAAAGAAAAGAAAGAAGAAAAAATGTTCATTGCAGGGTACAGTGATTTGGATATTAGAAAACATTTTTAGATAAAAAAAATACAATTGTGCCAGGAGGTGGTGACACATGCCTTTAATCCCAGCACTCAGGAGGTAGAGGTAACCAGATCTCTGTGAGTTCGAGGCCAGCCTGGTTTACAGAGTAAGTTCCACAACAGGTTCCAAAAGCTAGAGAGAAATGCTGTCTCAAAAAAAACAAAAAACAAAACAAAACAAACAAAAAAAACCCCACAATTGTATTCAATTCATTACCAGAAGTAGATCAAAGGTGGGTCTGGTGGTGTGTCAGCATATTAATTAGGCTGATACAAAAGAATCACTGCTCCAGTTTGAGGGCAGCCTGGGATGACCCCATCTCAAAAAAGAAACACCTGCCTTGGTCTACAAGAGCTAGTACCAGGGCAGGCTACAAAGCTACAGCGAAACCCTGTCTCAAAAAAAAAAAAGTCTCTAATAAATGACTAGACTCCTATAAACCACACATACAAAAACAATGCCACTTATACAAATTCATTCTTCAAAGTATATTTATAATGTACTCAAGACATTATCTTTAATGTCATCAAATATTCTTGTGTCACAATTTAAATACATTCCCTGTTATTTGTTAATAAGATAAATAAGATCTTTAGCACCTGAAGATGATTATTAAATTCCCCTTTGTCTTTTCTGTTCTTCATTAGTCTAAAAGTCTATACTTTCTTTAACATATACAATATTTTGAAAGCTCATATTCTTTCATTTCTTATCTTAAATATGTGGAGGCATGGGGATGCACGCATGTGCACTCACACAGAGGCCAAAAGCCTCCAAATTCTCTATTACTCTCCCCTCATCCCTTGAGATGGGATCTCTGTGAACTGGAACTAGGCCGGTGGCCAGTAAGTCCCAGCAATCAGCTCTAGGCTACAAGACAATGCAGACTTGCCTGGCTTTTAAAATGTGAGTAATGGAGAGTTGAGCTCCCGTCCTTATGCTAGCACAGTAAGTGCTTTACTTGCTGAGCCATCTCCCCAGCCCCCAGAAACCTCCAATTCTTCTATGCACTGTTAGAAAACAACTACTGCATATATTACAAAGGTAACCAAGAAAACTAGTTTAAACCACAATTATATAAAACAGCAACATGAGAGACATAATAATTATAAACAATAAAGATCCATACAAATTACCATCCATATGTAATTATACACTGAGGCTCTGGTTCTAGCATTTAGAGCTGTTCATTCAAGAGCTTACACTATTTCACCCTTACCAGGGGACTTTCCTCGTGAGTTGCTTCTCCGCTCTCTGTATCTGGTTGGAGTGGATAAGCCTGTGTCTTTACTAGCCTTGCTAGCAGGCCCCATTTCTGAAATAAGGAATCCCATTTGTTCTGAAGGCAATATATTCTCCTGTGGATTGGCCTGGCATTTTATACTGCTATCCACCTAAAATATTAAACACACTTATTATTCCCAAATATCTATGAAAAGTTAATAAGAGAAGTTCTATTATAGGAACAGAATTCTGCAAACATGTTTTCCTGCTTATGAAAGGCATTACCCTTAACTGTGTTGACTTATCTACATACTCACTAGTAAGATGTACATTTTCCACATACTCAAGTCACTGAAATGCACATGAAGCTAAAATGTTTACTGGTGAGCAGAGGAAGATCTACCATGTAGCTGGATACGTTTTATGACTTACACCAGTAAGACATGTTACATGACTGGTGAAAATTCTATCCTTTCACTTTAGTGCGTATTAGAGTTGACGCTCCTTCCTCGTTGGTGACCCTTGGATGGCACAGATAGGCATGATCTTCCTGGATAGTGACACTGGGAAATGAACACTATCTTATTAATTTTATATTCTGTATTAAAGATTGTGTCAAAACTGTTTATGCTTCATTCTCTATAAAATCTCTATCCATCCTGTTTATAAATGAGTTTCATTGGTTCCAAAATTTTCTTTGGAATGTTAAAACCCTTTGTCAAAATAACCAACTTCCGCTATGCTGTTCTTTATGTTTATTTAAAATATAACTGTATTATTAAATGAAGCTAAAAGTTAAAATTGAGTTTTCAGAAAGAACTATGATAGTCAAGTATATTAAAGAAAACACTGTGTATATTCAGTTTAAGATATGCAATCCAGTAGTTCACATATAACTATGAAGATACCAAATACTTTTATTTCTACAGGCATATTTCAAATTTAATGAGGCTATCTTCACTGGACTTATATCAACTTAATACATAGTTTAATAGTCTCAAAAAGGACAATGAATTGAAAGAATCTAAAAACATTTAGGATGGGGTATAACCTAGTGAGTGCTACAATACTTGCTTAGGTACTGAAATTACATCAGCTGAGTATCTTTCAGTATATCCAAATACAATAGTGTAATCAGAATGAGCAAAGCTCAATATTCTAGCCCCAGCTAATTCTACTGCTGCCACTAAAAAAAAAAAAAAAGGAGTGGAGGTGAGAAAATACAATAAAAATCTTGATTATATACATTTAGATAGTTTAGAAAGAACTACCTATATCAAGACCAGAGATCCAAGCCACTCTTGACTAAAATGTGAATTCCCGGCCAGCTTGGACTTCCTGGATGCATACAATAATTATAGATATGTCTTATCTCCTTGAGACTGAGCATCAGTTGTCACCCAGGCTGGCCTGGGACTTGTGGCACCCTTCCCTCCTCAGCATCCAAGAGCTGGGTTACTTTGGATGTACTTTTGATTAACTAGTTTTTGTTTAATTGATTAAGGAATGCAAGGTTAATAAGAAATCTGAACCCAGTAAAATCAATAGAATTTTGTAATGTTATTTAAACAAAAAACAAACGGGGCTGGAGAGATGGCTCTGCAGTTAAGAGCACTGGCTGCTATTGCAGAGAACTGAAGTTCAATCCCCAGCATCCACAAGGCATCTTACAACTCTCTGTAACCCCAGTTCCAGGCGATCTGATACCTTCCCCTGACCTCTAATGATATCAAGAAAACATTTATGTGGGCAAAACACTCATAACATAAAATTAATAAATAATTTTTAAAAGAAAGAAATGACCTGCAACTTTATCCTTACTTCCATCTACAGAGAGCTAAGAAAGTCATCACACACATCAAACAGACCACTCTTCTCGTTGGTGAAGTTGTATCAGCTGGACATATCTTTTAGTGTATTCAAATTAAGGTAAGGGACAAAACTCAAGAAATATCCAACATGGAATTATATTTTCTTTTTCAATTTTTTTTCCAGATTAGGTCTATCTATATGCCCAGGCTGACCTTGAACTCACTATAAAGCTCAGCAAGTCCTCAAACTCCCAGCAATCCTCCTGCTTCCACCTCTTAAGTGTTGGAATATAGGCAAATGCCACTAGGCTACAAATAGTATTTAGACCCTAATCAATCTGATTGCTTCTCTAGAGGTTCGTTTCAGACTACCACAGTTGGAGGATGGCTAGGGTTAAAGTAACTTGCTCTTTTTTTTCTTTCTTAATTTTTACAACTTTATGACACAAACCCTTTGGAAACCACAATAAACTGATATTAAATGCGAATAACATCTAAACAAACTCTTAGCTAACATTTTTAGAAAGAAACACTGTGCACTGTGAACTCAGTACTCTCACCTGCTGTGTGCTGAGCGGTAGCCCTTCCTGCACAAACACTACTGAAGATGGAGACGGATTGTGATTTAGCTGCTCCTTCATTTTGACATGACTTTGCTGGATGGTTGCAGATTCCTGTATTGTGCTATTCTCCAAAGGTTGAGCTGTGTGGATGGTATAGATGTACTCAGGTGACTGTGGTAGAGAGCAGGTAATTGCTTGTTCTGTTCCAACCACAAAAGACGTAATATCTGAGCCTACAGGAGTAAGTGGCTCCAGTTGGCTAGCCTGATTTGTGGAAGATGGATTGCTGTTGTTTGAGTTAGGTAAGATATGCTGGCCTCTGTTAGACTGAGATGATGGACACTGATTCTCAACAGGCTCCACCTTTACCATCTCCAATTTAGGGGAGGAATGCAACTCATCTACTATTTGAAAGACAGCCTCTAGATTTACTTCTGTCTTTTTATTTTCATCAGTAGCACTGCAAGGCCAATTAGAAGGCAGAAATTCAACTGGATAGGAAGATTGCATTGGAGGATTCTGGGAAAAGAGAAAATAGTACTGTATGGATAGAAGATCATGTAGGAAAATAGTAACATTTAAGTTCACGAATGCTAAATACAGTAAACTTGAGCTCACAAAAGCCTGAAATGGGACTAGGAATGTGGCTCAACAGTAGAGCAATGCCTAGCACACTCAGGCCTAGGTTCAGTTACCAACATCAAAAAAAGAAAGAAAATCTCAAGGTTAATTTGCTTTTCAGCAGTGATAGTTTCAAATGTGTTATTAATTAACAACATTTGCTTAATATATATCATACACAAACCATGTAAGTTTAGTACTGGAATGGACTGCTAATTCTCAGGATTAAAAAAAATACAAAAAGACTATAGTACCCAAATACCAATTTGCAGACAAAACTTCTATCTACCACAATTCCTCAATGAAGGCAGACAAAATGTCACTTTTACTTATCATACACTATTTAAGGAGTAAGGAGATTTTAAACACAGAATAAGTCCATCAATCATTCTATATCAATCAGGGGAGGCACTAATACTCAGTTCCAAATAACCTGGGGGGGAAATGTATGGAATGGTTCCTGAGATTGTTTTAATAATAAAGCAATAGACTAGGAGAGTTGTTGCTTTTAAATTCATATCTTTAAGATATATTCTCTTAACAGAGTGTGATGGAGCACACTTTTAATCCCAGAATTTGGAAAGGAGAGACAGGAGGAACACAAGTTTGAAGCCAGCCTGATCTACACAGTAAGTTTCAGGACATCCAGGGCTACATAGATAGACCCTAGTTCAAAAAAATTTTTAAATGATATGTTCATATAAATAGTGCTTTAGGGCTGGAGAGATGGCTCAGAGGTTAAGAGCACAAGCTGCTCTTCCAGAGGTCCTGAGTTCAATTCCCAGAAACCACATTCACAACCATCTATAATGATATCTGGTGCCCTATTCTAGCATGCAGACACACAAGCAGGCAGAACATTGCATACATAATAAAGAAATAAAGCTTTAAAAAAATAATAAATAAATGTCGGGCGGTGGTGGCACACGCCATTAATCCCAGCACTCGGGAGGAAGAGGCAGGCAGATCTCTGTGAGTTCGAGGCCAGTCTGGTCTACAAGAGCTAGTTCCAAGACAGGCTCCAAAACTACAAAGAAACCCTGTCTTGAAAACCCCCCCAAAATAAATTAAATAAATAAATTGTACTTTAACTAGAGAAGACATTCAATAGATGCCATATTATTTCAGATTATAAACAGAAGTGCAAAAGAGCTATAATTAAATAAAACATAGGATGAGCTGATATTGTTGAACATACTACAAGAATTGTGTTGATGTTTAGAATAAATAATGTAAACTCAAATAGTGTAAGCATCAAGTTATTATAGTCAATATCACCATTTGAGTTCTTAAGCATGTTTCAAACACATGCTAAGTGCTTTGCAGACATTACTTCATTTAATCCTCAAAAGCCGTCTGAAATGTGATGTTCTTCATTAATTTTCTTTTTTTCTTTTTTCTTTCGTGTTCACACTCTCACCCCACCCCCATCTATCCTCAGAGAGGGTAAGGCACATCGCCTTGTGGAAGGTCCAAGGCCCTCCCTACTATATCTAGGCTGAGCAAGGTATACATCCAAAGAGACTAGGATCCCAGTACATGCTGTAGGGATAAATCCTGGTGCCACTGCCAGTGGCCCCTCAGTCTGCCCCAGCCATGCAACTGTCAACCCCATTCAGAGGGACTAGTATGGTCCTATGCTTGTTTCTTCCCAGTCTGGCTGGAGTTGGTGAGCTCCCATTAGCTCGGGTAAACTGTTTCAGTGGGTGAACTCATCATGGTCTTGATCTCCTTGCTCATATTCTCATTCCTCCCACTCTTCAACTGGTCTTTGGGAGCTCAGTTCAATGCTCCGATGTGGGTCTCTGCCTTTGTCTCCCTCAGCTGCTGGATAATTTTATTTCTTTACTCTAAGGCTGGCCTCAAACTCCTATTCTATAAAAGAACTGAGGATGGCCTTGAACTCATCTGACCTTCCTACTTCCACACAGTCTAAGAGTTCTAAGATTACAGTAATGTGACTCACACTCTGTTTATAAGGTCCTAATTAAAGCTAGGGCTTCATGCATCTGCCAACTAAGCTACACCCTCAGTACAATGATTTCCATTTTAAAATGAAAAAATTTCCTTTATCATTTAAATATCTATTTATTATTGTGATGGGTGGTGTGTATACCATGGCATGCATGTGAAAATCAGAGGAGAGCCCTGTGAAGTCTGTTCTCTCCACCTTTACATGGGTTCTGGAACTCAAATTCAGGTCCTCAGGCTTGCATTGAACTAACCTACTGGTCTTACTTTATCATGTTTGTTTTTTGTTTGTTTGTTTGCTTGCTTCCTTGCCTTGTTTTTTGTTTTGAGACAGGATCTAGATATATAGCCCAAGCTAGCCTGGAACTTACTATGTACTCAGGCTTTTCTGAAACTTGAAACCTCCTGCCTCTATCTTCTGGGTGTTGAAATTACAGGAATGTGTAACCATGCCTGGCTAAAAACTGGTTTTGAAATAACTGACAGAGCCAGGACCCAAGCTTAGGTTTGCTTGACTTCTGCTATTAACCACGGCAATAGACTGATCTTTTTTCCTCGAGAATTTTTTATTAACTCTGTGTATATATGTGTGTGTGTATGCGTGTGCATGCACGCCACCAAAGGGTGCATATGGAGGTTCAAAGATGACTTCTAGGAGTCTGTTATTATCTCCTTCCACCATTTGGGCCCTGGGGGTTGAATTCATGTTGTCTAACTTGGTGGTAAACATCTTTACCTGCTGAGACATCTTGCTGGCCAGTCCTAGGTTGACTTTTCATGCATACTGCCAACAAGGCCACTAAATTTATCACATAGATTTCTGGTTTGCCTTTCATCTTTCTATGAGGGGCTTTCTCTATGTAGTACTGGCTGTCTTGAAACTCACTCTGTAGACCAGGCTGGCCTCAAACTCACAGGGTCTGCTTGCCTCTGCCTCCTGAGTGTTGGAATTAAAGACATATACCATTAAATCTGGTACTTACTATATTGAAAAATCAAAAGAATCTGAAATGTTTTGTGTTTTACCATTTTCAAATGGGAAATCTATAGTGGGATCTGATGCCCTCTTCTGACATAAAGTTGATAGAGCACTCACATAAATAAATAAATGAATAAATAAATAAATAAATCTTTAAATATATGGCCAACTAAAGGCGGGGTGGTGGTGGTGCACACCTTTAGTACCAGCACTTGGGAGGTAGAGGTAGGTGGATCTGTGAGTTCAATGCCAGCCTGGTTTACATAACAAGTTCCAAGACAGCTAGGGCTACACAGTAAAAAATAAAACAGTCAACTAAGCCAAATGTGGTTGCTGACACCTGTAATCCCAGCATGCAGGAGGTTGAATGATTTTCTTGAATTCAAAGCTAGCCTGGGCTACACAGAGCATTCCAGAACAGCATAGGCTATAGACAGAAACCTTATCTTAAAGAGAGAGACAGAGAGAGGAAGAGAGAGAGAGAGAGAGAGAGAGAGAGAGAGAGAGAGAAACAGAAAGGACAAGGTTAAATAATTCATCTTTATCAGACTCTATATTCTTCAAACAATAGTCTGATTATCTATTTCCCCTGATCTTTCTTTCTTTCTTTTTTTTTGTTTTTGGTTTTTTGTTTATTTTTCGAGACAGGGTTTCGCTGTAGCATTGGAGCCTGTCCTGGAACTAGCTCTTGTATATCATGCTGGCCTTGAACTCAGAGATCCGCCGGCCTCTACCTCCCGAGTGCTGGGATTAAAGATGTGCTCTATCACCGCCTGGCCCTCCTATGTTTTCCATAAGAAATAAAAATAAAAGGAATGTCTTTTGGAGTACCCTAATGCCGTTAACAAAATATTCTCTTGGGCTGATGGTAGTGTTTGCCTAACATGTGAAGACCTGGGCTCAGTCCCCAGCACTACAGCACAGACACACACATGCAAACACACACAAATTCTCTTAGAAGCAAAACTATCTTAGCTAGATTATTATCTGGCCAAACACACAATTCCACTATAAGAATTACAGCACTAAATGCATAGCATACAATCTGTTCTTACTCTAAAAAAACATCAATATAAACCATTTATAACAAAGAAGTCATTTCCTTTTTTTTGTTTTTTTTTTTTTTTTTTGGGTTTTTTTTTTTTTTTTTGGTTTTTCAAGACAGGGTTTCTCTGTAGCTTTGAAACCTGTCCTGGAACTCACTCTGTAGACCAGGCTGGTCTCAAACTTACAGAGATCCACCTGCCTCTGCCTCCTGAGTGCTGGGATTAAAGGCATGTGCCACCACCGCTCAGCCTAAGCAGTCATTTCCTAAGAAATACTGACAATATTTTGGAAGTACAGTGTCTGCAACATGCATGCTAAGGCTGAAGGGGCCAGCAATTAAATTTATCATTTTGGATACTCTTGAGTTTTTCTGGTATTCATCCTATCCTGAAAAAGCCTAAAACACTACAGTACAAAACAGTCATCTGCAGTGATGTAAACATTGCACTTCTCTATTGCAGCCGATGGTCATAACCACACAACCTCTGAACAAATGGAATGAAGTGTGACCACAGAAAGTGCTTTAAATTTTCAGTAATCTTTTTCAGCACTGGGGATTAAACCCAGGGTCCTGTGCATGACAAGCAAATGTTTTACTACTAACCTAAATCCCTAGCCCAACAGTTTAAAAGGCTACATGTGAGCTGAGCTTGGTAGTACACACTTCTGTGGTCCAACATTAAGGCAGAGGAAGACATACGGACCATGACCCTGTCTCAAAAACAAAAAGATTACATGAAGCTAATGGTTCCTATACTGGACCATGCTAGCCAAGACGAGTGCTCAAACATCACTCACATCAACTCTCTTTTATTTAGAACTCAGAAAACTAAGTCCACAAACCCAGCTTATTTCTGGCTTCTACTCTGGAAATCTGCCAAATTAATAGTATTGCCAGGCACAGAGTGTACAAGAATCTTACCTGGAAGTAGTTACAGTGTGCATAGGAAGAGGCAGTAGGAGTGACACAGCTACTTAGGGCATCCATGTGGGTGGAAGGAGAGCAGCACTGTAGCACAGCTGGAACAGATTCAAATACAAACAAGTCATCAACCAAATACAATACAGCACTCAAAGAATTTCCTTCCTGTTGTATACACACACACACACACACACACATACACACACACACACACACCCCAAAAATGAGTGCTGTTGATTGCTTAAAAAACGTGGTCATAGTCATATAACAAATTTATTTATTTTTTGAGACAAGATCTTGATGTATATTCCTGGCTGACCATGAACTCCTGTGATCCTCTTAGCTCTCTTCTTCTTGATCTGGGTTTATAAATGTGTGTACCTATACCTGGCTGTAATAAATTTTCAAAAGGTTATGTCTATGTTTTTAATTTATTTTTTGTTGTTGTTTTGAGACAGGATCTCATGCAGCCCAGGCTGGTCAAAAACTCACTCTGTAGCTGAAGATGACCATGAACTCATGATTCTCCTGCCTCCACCTCTCACATGCTGGGATTACAGGTATGAGCTACCCACCTAGTTTATGCACTGCTGGGGATCAAGCCCAGGGCTCTGTGTACAGGAGGCTGGTATTTACTAACCAAGCTCTGTCCTCAGCCACTAAGTGGTTCTTCAGTGCTTAAGCATACTGTGACTTTTCTAACCAAATGTTTATTCTTATTGAAAGTAATTTCATTTCACTAAAACCAGCAAACTATATTTTTAGTTCCTAAATAATTGTTTCAATCATTTTAGCAACTATTTGGAGAGGGAAGGCTTTAAAAGTAAAGTAAGAAAACATATTCTCCAATCTATCAGTACATGATGTATTTAGTAACATCATGTGGTTAGGAACATGGATCCTGGACTCAGCCTGCCTGGTTTTGTGTCCTGGCTCCATAATTAGCATTTTATAAATCTGAACATGGTTAGTCACTTCAGGTCTCACTGATTGCATCCTGTTAAAACAGGGATAATAACAGAATCTACTAGCACGGCTGCTTCAGGTAACAACAGCTTAGGACAGTAACAACAGCAATCAATAAATGTCAATAGCCAATATTTTAATGAAAAAATGTGTGTAGTACTAGGTAACAAACTCAAAAATAGATCTTGCAAACCTTTCCCTATGGTTAAGACACCATGAACAGATGGAGCTCTTTCACAGGAACGGTAAACTTACAGGTCAATCAGTCTCACCAGACTGAGTTCTTTCCTGGAGAGAGTCTCTCCAGAATGAGTGAGAATCAGTTACAACATCACATCTTTGGGGTAAACAGAAGATGATATGTGTTGAATGCCCACCATGCTTCAGACACAATGGTGGATGCTTCATATGCATTTTTATCAAACTAATCAAACTAACACTACTTTACAGACTAAGCAACTAAAATTCAGAGATATTAAAAAATTTGTCAACAGTAACAAGGTTGATGTTCTAGCACAGACTCATTTTCTCCTGTACCTGAGAGAATCAATCTGCTGGGAAATAAAGTGCATCCATAAATAGCTAACTATGGAGGATCTGTGATGTGGGATTCCCCTCTTTATGCTGTGAATATGAATGGTTAATTAATAAAGAAAACTGCCTTGGCCTATTGATAGGGTAGATCTTAGCTAGGCAGGGAAAACTAAACTGAATGCTGGGAGAGAGAAGGCGAAGTTGGAGAAAAGCCATATAGCCCCGCTGGAGACAGATGCCGGAACTTCAAAAGTTGGTAAGCCACAGCCACATGGCTTAATACACAGATTAATAGAAATGGGTTAAATTAATATGTAAGAGTTAGTCAATAATAGCTGGGCGGTGGTGGTGCATGCCTTTACTCCCAGCACTTGGGAGGCAGAGGCAGGTGGATTTTATGAGTTCGAGGCCAGCCTGGTCTACAAGAGCTAGTTCCAGGACAGGCTCCAAAGCTACAGAGAAACCCTGTCTCGAAAAACAAAACAAAACAAAACATAAGAGTTTGACAATAAGAAGCTAGAGCTAATGGGGCAAGCAGTAATTTAATTAATACAGTTTCTGTGTGATTGCTTCAGGGTTAAGTGACCGGTAACTAACTAGCGGCCTCCTTACAACAGATCTGCAGGGGTGTCAAAACTGGGAAGAAAGAACATTTCCCCTCCAGTTATTCCTAAGGAAAACCCTGCCCCCTAGTGGCAGAAAAGACCTAGTCAAGAGTTGCAGGTTATTGTCTCCTAATTGTACTGAAATGCAAAACTTCATTACAAATAAACCAATCCAAAGACTACATTTATTTTTCTAATATTTCAGTAGTATAACTCTACTGTTTAAATATTTTGAATGCTAAAATGTTCTCTAAAAAAATTTGTTGGAGAAATAAAAGTACAATATAGCTCTGAGAATGTCATTATAACAGAGTTGACAAATGAGTTTTGTGTGTAAGAAAACAGCAAACCATGAATACTATTCAGCATGTCCAGTAAGAAATGGGATGGGAAGGAGAGCCTGTGAAGCCACTCTCTCCAAAGACTCCTGCTACCAGTGTAGCCCACTTCGTACGGCCAACTGAAAGAGCAGAGTATGGTATCAACAAGTATGCGGAATAGGAATATCTAGGTGCCAAAATTCAAGTTTGTGCTTAGTATATGAAAAATTAATGTACTGTGCATTATGAAAGCAATAACATTATGAAGCCAAGTTATCACTATAACCTAAGACACACTCTCCTGTATAAAGATCTTGCTTTGTCTTCCTGAAGGCAATACTCTCTCAAGGCATCCAGCTTCCTGTATAAGAAAAAGTGTAGACTGGCAGTGGTGGTGCACGCCTTTAAACCCAGCACTCCTGGGCAGAGACAAGTGAATCTCTGTGAGTTCGAGGTCAGCCTGGTCTACAAAGCAAGTTACAGCAAAGCCAGGGCTGTTACATAGAGAAATACTGTCTCAAAAAATAAAAACAAAATGCCTCGCTCTATGGAAATAATTTAAACATATAATGTTTCAGATTTGAATCTATTCCAGGGCAGTGCAGTGTTAATAGTGAGTGAATGTCCAGTCACATAAATGCTCTAGGAATACAACCCAGTCTTTCAGCTTCACAGTGGTGTACAGGTGATATGAATTCAGTGCAAACCACACACTGAGACCTTATCTGTTCCACAGCTCATTACTCCTGAGATGCTGGGCAGCAACAGTGAGCCTCAGCTCCCAACATCTGATACCCTATAATGACCTACTACTAAACTACGAAAGTTCTGAATGTTAAGTGTATCAAATATATTTTAATAGCTTCAACTTACGATAGGGTTATAGCAGACATTGTTATAGCCCATCCTAAGTGAACGTGCATCTGCATATCCAAAACAAATGAAAGTAGGAATCTGAATTTTTTTGTTTGTTTATGTTGTTTTGTTTTGTTTTGAGGCAGGGTTTCTCTGTGTAACAGCCCTGGCTGTCCTGGAACTCACTCTGTACACCAGACTGGCCTTGAATTCTGAGATCTGCCTGCCTCTGCTCCTGATTGCTAGGATTGAAAGTGTGCACCAGTACTGCCTAGCCTGAAAAAATATTTTTAAGCTGGATATAGTGATGCAAGGCTGGACTCTCAACACTCAGGAAGCTCAGAAGGGAGAACTTGGAGTTTGAAGCTAACCTGGGATTAACAGCAATGTCCTGTTCTCAAAAAAAAAAAACAAAAAACATGACATTCTATACCCATGTTCAGAATAGCAATAATCTACAAAAGTGGAAACAACCTAGAATCCTTCAACAGATAAATGAATAAATATTAATACCTATATGTATAATTATCATTCATCTTTAAAAAGGAAAAATTTGATGCATACTACAAAATGGTTCAATCTTTAAGATATTATGATGAGGCTGATCAGTGGTGGTGCACACCTTTAATCCCAGAACTTGAGAGGCAGAGGCAGGAGAATCTCTAAGTTTGAGGCCAGCTTGGTCTACAGAGCAAATTCCAGGAAAACCAAGACTACACAGAGAAACCCCATCTTGGAAAAGCAAACAAACAAACAAATAAAAAGCAATGAGAGTCTTTAATCCCAGCACTTGGGAGGCAGAACCAGGCAGACCTTTGTGAGTTCCAGGCCAACCAGAGCCACAATGTGAGAAACTATTTCAAATAATAATGATGATAATGATGATTATAAGCAACTCTTTTGTCCAAGAACCAATTCAAATGCAATTTTAAATAATGAAAAATATTTTTAAAATACAAATACTCAAATATTTTATGTATCTTGTATTTCAAGATTTTAATTATGTATACATCTTCATGTGGGTTTGTATGTATGAGTGCAGGTGCCTATGGAGGTCAATAAAGAGCACTGGGCCCCCTGGTGCTAGAGTTACCAGCATTTATAGATCAACTCTCAGGCCTCAAAGCATAAATTTATACAAATTATTTAGCCCTTATAGTCTTAGTTGCGAGCCTCATTTAAAAGACTAAGTTTGAAAATATTTATCGTGTGTGTGTGTGTGTGTGTGTGTAGAAGCCAGAGGTTGATGTCAAATATCTTCCCCAATCTCTTTCTTCCTCAGTGTTTGAGGGGCTGAAGCTGGAGCTCACAGCCTCAGTTAAGCTGCCTAGCCACCAAGTCCTAGAGATCCTCCTGTCTCCATTTCTCAGTATGAGGACTACAGGCATACACTACTGGGCATTTTATATGGGTGCTGGGTGTCCAAACTCAGGTTCTCAAGCTTGCATAGCAAGCACTGTACTGACTGAACCATCTTCCCAGCTCTCTTGTGTATGTGTGTGCTTGCTTTTTGAGAGAGGGTCTCATATAGCCCAGACTGGCCTTGAATTCCAGAACCAACTACCTCTATAATCTCAAGCGCTGAGATTATAGGTGTGTAGTACCATACTGGCTAAAATATTTTATCCTTTACATGTTAGTCATGTTTTAATTTTTACAAAACCTATTCACAAATATTATTCAGTTTCTGGCCCAAACTATTATGGCTTCCTTATAGGATGAGAGAAAAACTGAGGATTATGATAACCCATTGATGGCCATGTCAGATGACTAAATGAACTAGAACCAGTCCACCCCACTCAACAGAACATTTACCAA